TTTTTTTTTTTTTTTTTTGAGTTGGCGTCTCACTCTTGCCCAGGCAGGAGTGCAGTGGCACGCTCAAGGCCACCGCAGCCTCGACCTGTTGGGCCCAGGCGATCCTTTCTACTCAGCCTTCCCAAGGAGCTGGGACTACAGACGCGCGCTACCACCCTCGGCTAATTTGTTGATTTATTGTAGAGACGTGGTCTCGCCAGGTTGCCCAGTTGTTCTCATACCCCTGGGCTCAGGAAATCCTCTTGCCTCTGCCTCCCAAAGAGCTGAGATTACAAGCGTGATTAAATACTTTGATAACATATATTTCCTCAGAATGAGAACAATATCTTGTAAAACTGCAATATCATTATCTTACCTAATAAAAGTAACTATGTATGCTAGCAAGAAAAGGTCATATTCACTTAAGGAATGCCTTTTATAACTTTTTGTTTTTGTTTTAAACTAGGATCCAATGAACAACAATACATTTTTTTTTCCTGACATTGACTCTTAGGACTCTAAGCTTAAAAACCTTGTAAAATGTTCCACAATCTGTATTTGTCTGTTTTCTCATGGTGTCATTTAACTTGTTCCTCTATTTCCTATATCTCCTGTAAACTGCAGGCTAGATCTAGATGCAAGAGGCTAAAAGTTTAATTTGTTTGTTTTGGTGTGTGTGTGTGTGTGTGTGTGTGTGTGTGTGTGTGTGTGTGTGTGTTGTTTTGTTTTGTTTGGATTCAAGGGATACATGTATTTGTTACATGGACACATTGTGTAATGCTGGAGATTGGGCCTCAGGAGGCCCATTCCCCAGATAGTGAATATTGTGTCCGGTAGGTAGTTTTTGAATCCTAGCCCTCCTTTCCCCTTCTCCTTCCCCTCTTCTCCTTTCCCCTTCCTCTTTATTGGTGTCCCCAGTGTCTATATTATTTTCGTTTTTATGACCTTTTATTTCCCACATACGAGTGAGAACACACAGTGTTTGGCTTTCTGTTTCTGAATCAGTTTATTTAGGATGATGATCTACAGCTCCATCCATGCTGCTGCCAATGACATTTCATTATTTTTTTATGGCTGTATATATGTAAAATGTGGTATATACTTCAGGACATATGTATACCACATTTTCATTATCCACTGATCAGTTGATGGGCATTTAAGTTGATTCCACATCTTTGCAATTGTGAATTGTGCTGCAATGAACATGTGGATGCAGGTGTCTTTTTTATATAGCAACCTTTGTTACTTAGGATAAATACCTAGTAGTGGGATTGCTGGATCAAATGGTAGATCTACTTTTAATCCTTTGAGTAATGTCCATACTGCTTTCTGTAGAGGTTATACTAATTTACACTCCAACCAACAGTGTATAAGTGTTCCCTTGGTGCCAGCATCTATTGCTTTTTGATTTTTTTTAAATAATGACCATTCTGACTGGTGTAAAGTGATATCTCATTGTGGTTTTCATTTGCATTTCCCCAGGACAACCCCTTCAGGTCCCCTCCCACTGTGGGAGCTCTTCTGTCCTCTCAAGAAATCCTGCTTCAAGAAAAAAATTTGTTGCATTTCCCTGATTATGAGTGATGTTGAGCATTTTTTCATGTTTGTTGGCCATTTGTATATCTTCTTTTGAGAGATGTCTATTCATGTTGTTTGCCCACTTTTTAATGGGGTTATTGGTAGAAGCTTGATTTAAATGAAACATTTTTTTGTACAAACATACTACAGATGATATTGTTGACTACAAATATTCCATCATATCATTTCAAAAGGTGCATAATATCAAGTTGTCCCACTATTTTTTTTGTTTTTTTTTTTTTTGAGCTGGCTTCTCACTCTGTCACCCAGAGTGGAGTGCAGTGGCACGCTCCCAGCCACTACAGCCTCGCTCTGCTGGGCTCCGGCGATCCTTCTGCCTCAGCCTTCCAAGTAGCCGGAACTACAGGCACATGCTACCACGCCTGGCTAATTTTTGATTTATTGTAGAGACAAGGTCTCACCAGGTTGCCTGGGTGTGTCTCAAACCCGTGGACTCAGGCAATGCACTCGCCTCGGCCTCCCAAAGTGCCGGGATTACAGGCTGAGCCACCGAGCCCGGCAAGCTGTCCCACTATTAACAAAGCTAAGTTTGATTTGTTGGTTAAAGCGGTAGCTTCTAGGTCTCTTCATTGCAAAGGTACATTTTACCTTAGCAATTAGTAAGCAATCTGTGGGTGATATATGGCACTGTGAGAATAGCCTGTTTTCCACAACCGCAGAAGCAGACTTTTGAGGCTTACTGGAGTAGTCTATAAGAGGCTGTGGTGTGAAAAAGAAAAGTGGACCAGAATTCCAAAGACAGGAATTTAAGTCCCAGTAATGCCATGTGACCTTAGGTAACTTCTCCAAGTCTATTATGTATACAGTGAAGATGAGAATACAAAGTGATTAGGAAAAGACCTGTGGTTTTTTCTTTCCTTTTTTTTTTTCAGTTGGGTCTCACTCTGTTGCCCAGGCTGGAGTGCAGTGGCTCAATCACAGAGCACTACAGCCTCAACCCCTTAGGCTTAGGCGATCCTTCTGCCTCAGCCTCTCAAGTATCTGGAATTAGAGGTGCCCGCCACAACACCCATCTAATTTTTAAATTTTTTGTAGAGAGGAGATCTTGCTATTTTGCCCAGGCTGGCCCTGAACTCCTGACATCAAGCAATTGTCCTGCCTCAGCCTCTCAAAGTGCTGGTATTCCAGGTATGAACCGCTGTACCGACCCTTTGAAAATATTTTGAAAAATCTTTAAAGCACCATTCAAATGTAAGTAATCTTTATTCTGAGTTAAGCATTTTAAGTCTGTAAGAATAGGATAATACATGCATATTACATTCTACCAACGCTACCAATATAATTATCTCATACTAGTTCTTATCATTAAACGTGAAATACAGAAGAAATTCATAAATTGTTTACTGAACTAAATAACATGTCATAGGGAGTTTCAGGGAACGAAGGACAAATTCTACCATAAAACATTCCTAATGAGAAAGAGAAAGACCATGAGAAAGAGTTCTCTGGGAAAACATAATGCAGGACTCCACATTAAGAGATGTGGTGATCTGGTTTTGCCTGTTCCAAGTTGTGGCTCATTTCCCCTAATTGTATGTCTTATTCCTCCTTCGCTCAACCCTAAAAGTAAATCTGCCCCAAATCTTTGAGAAACTCTTCAGTCCTTCTTGCGGTCCCATTCTTTCAGTCCATCTCCTAGCCTGTTCTCTTGTGTCCTACTGGCTGGAGCTTAGATGTAGGGCTGGTAGTGAGCCATCATCCACCATGAAGGAAAAAAGCAATATCCCAGATAAACAGTAGAACAAGAAATTGTACTATACCCCTGAATTGTTCACCTGATTGGACTATTACATAAGACAGACAGCTTGTTTAAGTCACCCTTCTTTTGGTGTGTGTTAAGCTGAACCATTGTCACCTTATCCCACCCTGTTTTGCAGACAGGGTGCGGCCACAAGACCTAGGCTTTGCCTGTCAGGCCCACCCACTGCATAGTTGTGGGGCCTTTAAGGACCTCTGGCAGATCTCATTGCTATATGTTTTCTATTAAGCTCTGGCCGATCTGGTTGCAATATATTTTATATTAAGTGCTAGCAGTGTCAGCAACTTGCCCTCAATAAACCAATTCCGAACTGTTTATTTTAGCTGTTACTCAGCCACATGAATCTACACCTGGCAATTCTGTGTGCAATGCTGACCTTTTAATAATTTCCATTTCTGTTTAAATCAGGCAGATATGTCTTCTTTTCCTTACAAGATCCTAACTGCTAGCTTCATGCCGATCTTCATCCTCCCACAATGCTCAACTATGTTGATCTTTCAGGTCCTGCAGAATACCACACTTTCTCATCTCACAGCCTTCCCAGGTATAAAACACACTTGCATATGAGTGTGCATACCCACACACATTCCACCTCATGGT